AGATTTTATTCGAAAAAGGATAAAGGATTTAATAAGAAATGGTGGAGAGGTGGGAGGGAGTGTGGGGGAGTGAGTGATATATATATATATATATATATATATATATGTATATAAGATAGGATAGAACTAACGAGCATTTCGTAGTTCCATGAAGGGTGAGAAAGGAAGAAGAAATTTTTGGCGAAAGAGACGTGCGCGAACAGTACGCCCTTTTCGTTCGATGGACATGCGGTTGAAAAAGGGAGACGTTTTTGGGGGTGAACACATGACTCATATATACACATATATATATCTACACCCACCCCTTAGATATTTTCTAGGGACGAATTCGGAGGATTGTACGAATATGCATTTCAGAACCTTCAGTAATTACTAATTCAGGACGAGGAGCCAGTATTACTGGCTCTTTTGTGTCTTTTGCTATAGTTTGATCCAAGTGCATTGACCTTTTCTTATATACAATAGAAAAACTATGCTTTTATATATATATGTATATCTATTCTATCTTTTGTTCTTTAGAAAGAGAGAGAGAGAGAGAACGACAAAAAAATTATATTATACAATTATTTATGGGTTTTGTTGAATAAGTGATTGAATTTTTATTTATTTATTTTTTTTTTATTTTTTTTACACATACATATGTATGAATATATAAAATATTTTATATTTTTAAATATTAAAATATTAATATTTTAAATATTAAAATAAAATATGAAATTAAATGAAAATAAATATTAAATATTTTAATATTTACAATATTAGAATATTAATATTTTAATATTATTATTATAAATATTTAATTTAATATAATTATTATAATATTAATATATTATAAATATTAAAATAAAATATGAAATTAAATAAAAATTAAATATTCAATATTTTAATATTTAATATATTAAATATATAAACTATTTTATATATTATGTATAAAATATATTAAACATATATTATAATATACATAAAAATATTGTATCATGCATATGTAAAAATAATATCATCAAATTATTATGGGTTTTTTGTTGAATACGTGATTCGAACTTATTTCTTTTTTTTTTATTCTTTTTTTCATTTTTTTTTTTTTTGATCAAATAATAGATCTTATTATTAGTTTTATCGAACTAGGGACTTTGATAAACTTTTCTTATAGATACATTATATTTTTTTTCTTTTTTTTTTTTATTCTATGGAATTGTCATTAAAAGTGTATAACTAAATTATAGTAAATTGTACAAGTAAAAACAAAAAATAGAGACTATAATTTTCTTCATCTATGAAGACAAAATCCTATATAGGAATTGAGTTTTTTTTTTTTTTGGGTTTCTTTTTGTCTTCAGAAATTCTTTCGTGATTTAACTTCGAGTTAGACGACACGTTTTGACGAGACAAGATTAAATCATTTTTGTTTCTATAAGAAATTGTCATTACAGGTAAATGTACAGGTAAAATTATACTATGAAACAGACCCTGTAATTTTCTATACGGATAGACAAAATTATTGTGACGTTTTTTTACCTTTTTTTTTTTTTTTTTT